TCCCCCGCAAAAGAGATTTTAAGGCAGCTCTTTTGTTGTTTGCCATTTCCACCCAATAAATGAAAAATAATAACGAAGCGTATCTATCTATAGATATCAGTTAGTTACTTTGTGTGTTGGTTAGTAATTGCACTCAACAAACTGTGAAAGATGATGGCAACAAAATCATATTCTTCTTATGGTCTCCAGAGCAAGTTATGAGATGCTCTAATATGTCACCTTTCAGCCATCTTTCAAAGTGACTTATCTACGTCCCACCTGAAAGAATTGCCAATGAGAGTTTCTAGACTCTTTGAGAGATGTGAGTTAATTGCCTTTGTAGCAGCAGAAATCATTTGAACAACCAAGTATTCGTTTGTATCCTCTTCATTTTTCAATTTGGTGTTGTTAAATTAAATAAGATAATTGTGAACAGTGCAGAAATTACCTTTACTTAGTAGTCTCAACCCAATCAATGAAATTCACAAGTTTCACTCTAGGCAAGAGATTTTTTTGTAAGGAATTTTTTTTTTTTTTTAAATGCCAAAGGCCCCTGAGTCTGAGAGGAATGGTTTCAATGGAACATTCAACTGAGAATTAAACCATAAACAAGCAGGTAGGAAGGGTCCAGTTCCTCTTCTCAGTGGCTGAAGTCCTCCAAGCTACACATTCCATGTTTTTGAACCAAACCACTTGGCCGTATTCCTGGGGATTCCTTAAATTACCAGCTGCAAGTGTATCCAGAGCACAGAAAGCACCTGGTCCACAGGAATTGCTCAATAAATATTTGTTGAATGAATGAATAGTTGCTGCCTGAAATATTGACCTCTGGGAGAGAGAACCTTTGAACTTACCTCTGTAGTGATTTGTGTCATTTAATTCTTTATGCTGACTTCCTGTGAGTTTGGAATTGCTTTTCTCCTTCCTGGTTCTTCCATCATAAGTGCTTTCTGAACCATAGACCAGACCAGAATTCTTGATGGTAAGCTTTGGTTTAGCCCCAGGTTAAACCAAAGCTTTCTCCATCTCAGCACTATTGACACTTTGTACTGGATAATTTATTGCTGTAGAACAGTGGTCCCCAACCTTTTTGGCACCAGGGACCAGTTTCATGGAAGACAATTTTTCCACGGGCCAGGGGAAGGGTGTGTGTGGGGGGGATGGTTTCAGAATGATTCAAGAGCATTACATTTATTGTGCACTTTATTTCTATTATTATTGCATTGTAATATATGATGAAATAATTATGCAACTCACCATAACGCAGAATCACTGGGAGCCCTGAGCTTGTTTTACTGCAACTAGACAGTCCCATCTGGGGGTGATGGGAGATAGTGACTGATCTGACAGGAGGTGGAGCTCAGGCGGTGATGTGAGTGATGGGGAGCAGCTGTAAATGCAGATGAAGCTGCGCTCACTTGCCTGCTGGCAGCTCACCTCCTGCTGTGTGTCCCAGTTCCTAACAGGCCATGGACCAGCACTGGTCCTCAGCCTGGGGGTTGGGGACTGCAGCTATAGAGGGCTGTCCTGCACATTGTAGAGTGTTTAGCGGCAGCCCTGGCCCCTGCCTAGTAGATGCCAGTAGCATACCATCTTGCCCCCCAAGTTGTGGCAGACACAATGTCCCCTGGGGAGCCATCTTTAGTTGAGACTCACTGGTTTAATCTAAACTCCAAATTTGTGCTCCAAGTGAACTCTCCCCTATCGCCCAGTAGTGCTAAACAGGCAGGCCTGCCTTCTGAGTTCCTGACCTTCTCCTCCCTTCTCCTGTCTTCCTGGACCGCTCTGTAGGTTTTCATGATGGGCCAGAGTAGAATAAACACCACCACTGCTGGTGCAAGGGCCTTCTGAAGATTTTAAAGAGCCCGTTACTTCTGCAGCTGGCATGCTTCCACAACCAGTCACCATACATCTATACATAAATTCAGGAGACTTGGATAATTTTTCTTAATAACTTTCTGTTCCTTCCCACCTTTTGCCCGAGTAGAAGAGAAATGACCACCTGGAATATCTTCTACTGCTTCTATCTTTCTCACTTCTTGGGTATAGACACCAGTTGGGGAGGAGATGGCTATTGAAGGGAAGAGGAGCATCAAGGAACAGCAATATCCATCTAGAGAGTGGACAGCCAGCTCCAGGGCTCTGACGTGCTGTGAGAGCCAGGAGCATTTCCGCACAGCGAGGATTACAGCAGCCTGTCTTGGAGATGCAAGGTAGAGGCTCTGATGCAGGATGAAGGAGCATCTATACATGCTCCTGTGTTTTCATTTATTCACTTAGCAAACCTTTTTGTGAGCATTCATACTATATGCCAGAATACAGAGATAGTGATGGAAGATGAAGCCCACTGCTTCATTAAGAAACACAAGTCAAAAAAACCTGCATTAAAACAGACACATTAAGGGTGAACAGGATGTTTCACTTTCCAGAAGATTTCCCTAAAAGGTGTTTTCAGATAGGGAACTCTCAAACCCTTTTATAGGGAGAAAAAAAAATACCAAACTTTTAGGAATAACTTTTTTTGAGGGGGGGCGGTCATGCTTATTGCTTAAAATGAGGTGTCTTTTGAGTAGATTTATTAATACTACATTGTGCTAGTATGTTGAGATTGAAATGATTTTTTTTTTAAGGAATGCTGGTGGGTTGAGTTTTAAGTCATCTGTAGAGTGGAGGGAGGGTGAGTCCCAAAAGACCACCCATCTCTAGCCCACTCCAGCCTGCCATTGGTGACACGAACCTGGGACCAGAACATGCAGGTTACTGAGCAAAGCCTAGCTTATCTGGGTGGAGGTTTTCTAGTTCAAGCTGAGAAAATGTAGGGCACTGAATAACACACACCTGGTGACAAGGAAATTGCATGTTTCGGCATCCTCCAGGTTTAAATGTTATAAAGGGTTT